AAGAAGAAACTGTTCTAGGGATAGTCCTTAAGGACCATAAGAATTTAAATTTTACTAGGTGTGTGACAGGTACTAGGGGAACTCTTTGTTCTGTCACACTGATTCACTATAATTTCCAAAAGCTTAGAATGCAAAAAGCACTTGGGGGTTTTTTTCTTCTACTTCAGATTTAGACTGTTGCTATTTTGTTCACAGGTGAAGGACATATGTGAGAAACAAGCTGCAAAGTGGAAAGTCGTGTAATGAATAACTGGATGACAAAGAGCAGAAAGGTTAGAAAGAAAGAAACTCTAAATCCTCATATAGATATCATTTGTTGATGCCATTTGTGATTGTACTTTATATTTGGGAGTAAGAACTCATACACATGTACGCGTGTATGTAAGTATAGACACACACATACGTACCTCAGATTCTCCTTTTCTGTCCTGGATGAAGAACAAGCTGGACCCAAGATGCAGACAGCTGAGGTTGTAATACATGAAAAGATTAGAAAAGGAGGGAGAGCATCTCACCTTGAGACAACCTGGCACAGAGCCTTATGCAGGCAGCTCCAGCGCAGCCTGCATGACCCTCCATCCGTGATGGATGTGAGGATCCCCATTTCCACATCCCTGTTCCCGTACCTTATTCACCCGCCCTGCCTGACAGTTAGGGCACTGTGTATGCAGACCAGCACAGCTGAAGACTGGGACCGTCCATTGCAATCCCTGAATACGGCAGTGGTCACCACGAGCTTGTCTTCTGTGCAAGAAGGTAACCAGCAACAGAAGAAGGATTTACTGCAAGAGAGGCAGGAGAATCCCCAACAAGGCTTTGGAGACAAAACAGAGTCCTTTGAGATTTCAGAGAGCAGACTGTGAGGGAGTTGGTTGCTTTCCCACAGCTGTAGAAACATTTTCTGCCTTCTTAAAGTTTCTGCGTGCGGGAAATTCTTGTGGTTTCTGCATTTATTTTGCACAGGATTCCTGAAAAATGGAACTAAAGTCTCCAGAGAGCCGCTCGGAGAAGTTTTTCTAAGAGGAAAAGCCTAAGCAGTGGGAATGTGCAACCCACTCCCGAAAGGGAGTTGGACCCTGGCTGCGGGGAGGGTGCGGGGCTGTAGGCTGCGGAACAAAGAGCGGTCATCCCACCCAGGAGTCAGAGCCCTTCATGACAGGCTTGTGACTGTTCGGGAAGCAGAATCATAACGCCTAGGATCCTAAACAGCCTCTGCTCCATTCAGTTACAACTGTTTTGTATTACAGGAGAGGCTGAGGCTCTTGGACAACTGGTATTTCCTAGTACCTTATTGTGGCCTTGGCCTGGAGAAAAGATCCAGACTTTCCCAATGCTACTACAGGAGCATCGGATTATCCAGGCAATGCCAGAATTTGCAAAACCCAGCCTTCTACTCCAATCTACTAAAGCAAGCAAAACTTAGAGCAATATATGAAGTACTTCAGTGTAATCTGGAGACAGAGCAACTTGCGTACCATCAACCACCCTTTGCACTACTATAGACTAAAGAATCCAGTCTTCTGCTTCACTAGATGAAGTTCTGGTGCAGCTAGAAATGTTGGGGTTCGGTTTTTTTAATATTGTGCCTGCCTCTACTAATCTACTCAAAATGCAAAGGAGTTTATAGAAGTTGACCCCACCTGCAACAAGAGTGAGTTCAGAATAGTTTCTCATTAAAAACTTTAAAATAGTGACACACAAGTTAGAAGCAGTGAAGTGTTCAGTCATCAAAGCAGCAGAAGGCAACAGGAGTTGGTTTTGGAGCTCTGGGACAGAAGTAGTGACTTGAGCTTCTTTCCGACGCCTGGTACCAGACTGCAGATGACTGGCAGTAAAAGCAAGAGGAGTATCATTAGCTGTGGGGACATGGGGCAATGACAGCCTAGCAGCTAATAATTTCACGACTGCCCTTTGACAGTAAATTTCATACTTACACAATGCTTGCTTGTCCCAATTTACCGGAATACTTAGTGTTTTCCAAGCTCTGGTAGAAGTGAAAGCATGCTAAATGTTGCTTTTATTCTGCAGCTGAACAGGAGAAAGAAACAGATTAAAACATGTCATGACCTCACAGAGACATGTATTTTATATGCATTCCTATAGTGTAAACAGCCTTTTTTCGCAGGAACTGTTCTAGCCTGTTCTTGAAAATACTTTCATTTCCCCCTAGAGCTGTTTCAGCTCCCTACCTGTAAAGCTTCTAACGAGGATGTGCTGCTGACAGCTAGAGGAGCACAGGTACGAATGTAAATACCTTGATTCGCCTGCAACTCTCTTTCAGAATGTTTTTCTCAATAAGGCATCTGTCAGTTTAAATTGAGAAGTGAATGCCTGTAATGCAATATTCCCTCTGTGAATAATCTATAAGGTTAGCGGACACGTTACAATGAATAACCAATAATAGTGGGTTTTCCAGCAATGCAGTTTAATAGTCTCTTCATATGTCCGTGTTTATACAGCAGATAAACTTCCAACAAAAAAGTAATGTACAATTCAAGAAAATACCCAAAGCTATTACAGTTTTGGCTTCCTCTTTGTTGATTTACAATTATGTACAAGACTGTCTTATTTGCACTACCCAGTGGAGATTTAATGCTTTATTTACATCAGCTGGTGCCTTGCACTGTGCAATTGAACTGTCTCCTTTCGCGATTTACATTCATAGTAGCAGGAGCCCTCTCTGAGGTGTTATTTATGGACAGCGTTAACAGGTGGGCTGAAACAAGGCAAGATTGTCACTACTGACCACAAACACACCTCTGAAATCCCACTTTCACATATAGCTGAAGGAAGGTTCCAGCGCCTAATGCACTGATACAACCATTGTATTTACAGTCAACACGATAAGGTGTCTCCACCGAGAATGACATTCCCACACACATCAGAGGGAGATACGTGCGAGCTGGAGGCAGTACGTATTTTAAGGTGCAGCAGACAAAAGGTGTAACTCTGGTGCTAAAGCTGCACCTTACTTATCCTGCCAGAGATCTTCAAAGCAAATGAAGACACAAAGTATACTATCTTGCTAAATGTGTGAAGGAGAATATTTTACAATTTTTCTTACACAAAAGATTCAATTAAGAGGGAAAAAAAATTATAATTTTATCATAAGACACAAACTGTTTCATGGAATCACGAAATAACTTGAGTTGGGAGGGACCTGTAGAGGTCATCTATTCCCAATCATTCAAAGTAGGGCCAACTTCAAAGTTAGAGTCAGTTTTCAATTTAGAGCAGATTGTTCAGGGTTGTGCCCGGTCAAGTTCTGAATATCTCCAAGAATGGAGATTGCACAACCACTGGGCACTTATTCCCATGTTTGACCACCCTTACGGTAAATAAATTTTCCTAACACCTGATCAGGACTTCCACCTTGAAGGTATAGTCTGAGGCCCATTGAATCAATCATAGTCCTTCTATTGACAACAGTTTTAGAGCATCCCGAAACCAAGTATAACAAGGGTCATTCTTTCAGCTTTTCAGAAGAAATAATTCACTTTTTCAAGCTATTTTCTGATATCTAGTCAGTAGGGCATCACTGCCTGAAATGTTTTCATAGCTTGTATCAGAGGGCAAGATATGTACCATTTATTGGCATTGAGAAATCAGTGCCACAATTGCACTTCTTTCATCTGTAATAAATCCAGTATTTTGTACATTACACAGCTGTTGCAGAACAGCATGTTTATGATAGCATGACTAGATGGAAATTACTCATACAAAAGGCAAGAGAGTTTAACCTTAGAATCCTTTCAACAAAGAAAAAACTGTTTGGGGAGCAAAACTAAGGACTCTGTTATAGCTACATGTGCCTGGGGTTTCGAAATCCCTGCTTTGCCATTGCCTGCTATGCCTTCTGATCATCAAACTTGTTTTCTCTCTCCCAGCTTGAAAGACACAATCTATGGTACAGCTTCCTCCAGTAACAAAAGCTACTCCTAACTGAAATGCTTTTCTAGTGTCTATACAAAGGCAGCCACTCACAAAATCACAGAATCCCAGACTGGTGGGGGTAGGCAGGGACCTCTGGAGATCACCCAAAGCAGGGTCACCTACAGCAGTTGCACAGGAGGGCGTCCAGGCAGGTTTTGAGTATCTCCAGAGAAGGAGACCCCACAGCCTCTCTGGGCAGCCTGTGCCAGGGCTCTGCCACCCCCAAAGTACAGAAGTTCTTCCTCACCCAGTCTTTCCATCTCCACACAAAATTACATGACTGTCTTGAGTCCATGTACCCTTTACTTCCCTAGCCCTGGCAAATAAAGAAAACAGACAAACTAGAATCAGCTCAGTCTTCATATTCAGCCTTAAAATCCGCCTGTGGTACATCTTACCCCACGATGATAAGAATACATATAGTCAGATATGACAAAGTACTGTATTTGACTTGGAAAATCCCATGGTAACACTGTCCTCTTACACAACACGTATTTTATGACAGTAACAGTCACGGCTGGAATACAAGACTGCTGATATGTGCATATATATTGGTCATAACCAATGAGCAAGCTATGTAAACCCTGATAAGTGGAGCTACTTCTCTGATTTTGTGTCTTCAGAAAGAAATAGCAGAAAATTTTTTAATTCCGGGCATCAGAATAAGCCATGCTGTATCCAGAGAGACAAAGAATATCAAGAGAAACACACACTGAGAGGCTGATGGGCTCATTTGCATGGCAGATCACACTCGTCGCATTTAGCAGAAAGAAAAAAGGCTTTCCCTGTATAATCTTTTTATAAGATTCAGTCTTCAGTACTGTAAATGACACCCAAAATCTTCTTCCTCCCTGTAATACAGATGCACTGAGAAGCTCCTACCACCAATGTGAGAGAGGTGTGTGGAGGGAAAGAAAGGTAGAATCACATATTAAAAAATAGTTTCTGATTGCTGCAGAAGTCACGACATTCGAATGAAGAAAGATGTCCATAGGCATTTCGGCAGAATTTCAAGATGCAACAAGATGTTGCATTTCCGTTCTCTTCCCTCATTCGGTTTTGTTTGCTTAATACTTGTTTGATAACCCACAGACCATTCTCAGGCTATAGCAACAGATTATCTCTTTGAAGGTCTTCCTCATTTCCTGGCTACGAAAGGCATAGATCAAGGGGTCAATCACCGAGTTGCACATAATGAGAATGAGGTACATGTTGAAGTGAGACATGAAGCAAACACAGTAGAGGTTTTGAGGGCAGGAGATCATCAGGATGAGATGAAGGAAGAATGGAGCCCAGCAAACAATGAAGATGCCGAGAAGCATAGTCAGAGTGATGGCTCCTTTCATGCTGGTTCTTTGACGGACAGAGTTGTACCCAGGCAAAGCAGCTATTTTCTTCACATGAGTACGAGCCAGGAGGAACATATGGATGTACAGTGAGACCATGAGGAACAACATGGTAAAAAACATAGTGATGAGGCAAATGATCACGTAAGTTGATTCATAATAAAGAATGAAGATAATGCCACAGCCTGTGCAAAAGGTCCAGATGCATGCAATAATAAGCCCTGATCTTTTCACTGTCATGATGTTGTGATAACGCAGGGCATAGAAGATAGTGATATACCTGTCTACTGCTATAGCCAGCAAACTGCACATGGAAGCCACCACAGATATGCAGATCATTGAATCAAAGACATTGTCTATATGACGGACAAAGGCATCTTCCATAATTATGTGTCTATTGTTTATTAAGTATATCGTTATGGTCTCCCAAGCATTAGACACACTAACCAGCATGTCAGCCACTGCCAAACTGCAAACAAAAAAGTACATAGGTGAATGCAAGTTCTTGTTCTTAACTATTGCACATATAACTAAGATATTTTCAAGGAGGCTTACAATGCCCAGCGTTAGGAACACCTCAGCCGCAATGACCACTTGCTCACATGGCGATGAGTTGCTCTCGACAGTAGGCACAGAAAAGTTGCTAGCAAAGGCACTCAGGTTTAGTTCAGAAACATACAGTTGAGAGGACGTGTTCATCTCTGGAAGCAAACACGTTCTGTTCTTTCTGAGGGACTTGCCAAGGAGTGTGGTAAATGCATTTTCCAAAAGGCAAAAGACCCTGCCAAAAAAAATACAGCATGACAAGAACAGGCAGAAGTTGACAAAACAAATATCACCCATTTCTGTTTAATTTGGCTTGTACACATCCTGCCTCTTCCACACCATATTCCTGTACCGATTCTAAATTAACCTCCGATTGGCTCAGTTTTTCTACCCATCTGTACTGGGAAAATAAAACCACAAAGTTACAAAGAGATTCATGCACTCTTCATTCATAGTTTTGTTTATCGTATTCGGTCCCTCAGAAGTGAGCACAATGTCTTGGAAAATCTGCTGAACACCAGACAACAGACAGTTTTCAAAGTCTCAGTTCTCAGACCCCAGAAATGCAAGAGAATATACTATTAGGTTCAGCAAAACATGATCCCTTGAATACAATACATGGAAGTTTGAATTATTGCCACAATTAAGAATTTCATATGTTCAGTAAAAGATTTAAATGCTTTCCTGACTTTTGTACTACTTAAGTTCGCATGAACTGTTATAAACAGCTTATCTGTGCAATACTGACGTGCTCACTTACGAGCACAGTGTTAACCATCTAACCAAGGCAACGCCATACATTTCAGAATACACTAAGGTTACAGAATCAGTATGGGTGGAAATCTGTCATAAAAATGAGTTTTCTATTCCAGATCATGAGTATTTTATTCAATGCTCTTTTGGTAATGACAATATTCAGGACAAGTTGTAAGCCGTCGGATTCTTAGAAGGGGAACCCTTAAAGCTGATTGTCAGTGACTCGTTTCAAATACAATTCAAAGCATGTCAAGCTAAATCATTTTCAGTTTTTAAATTAGCCTTTTATTTGCAATCAAGAATTAAATGTACCTTTTTATCAGCGCTGCTCCTTCAGCTGCTCTTCCTCTTCATCGTCTGCAGCCTCTGGTCCAGAGAGAAGAAGTTTCAGCCCCCCTCCTCACCCGACATCTGGGGCTGGGGACTCCTTGGTGGGAATAGATGACAAAAATAGAGGAAAAGGAATGAGTAAATCCATAGAGTCAAGGCTGACTACGCATAAATTATTTGCTGTGCAACTGCCTTTTTATAGACTCCAAGCAATAATGACTTCAGTACTCAAACTATGGCTCCTCCTCCCCTGCTTTGCCCCCCTGAACTTCTCTTTTCACAGATTTTGTGAGCAAAGGCTTGGGTTTTTACCACCATCTAGTGGTCCGCACTTGGCCTTCTAACGGAACAGTGATCCCCACCTAACATTCAGCATGAGCTTTTTATAATATTAGAGGGGGAAATGCGCTAGGCATGCTCCTTTCCAAAAACATTTCTGTTTTGTTTTCTCTGCTGTTGCTAGTACTCCCTGACAGTAAGTTCCTAGAATAGGAACCACACTGTTACAAAAGTCAGAGAACATACATTCAAGCCTGTCACACCACTAATAGAAGATACAACTCAAGTAATTTGTGTGAAAAAACAGAACAAATAAACAGTTGTGTGCCAGTTCCCTTGCTGGAATAGAGATTTGAATGCAGACGTGGAAGGAGAGATATAGCTATATAGATATATATATGCAGTGTATATGTATACAGTGCATCATGCTGGGAGCCAGGGCTTCCCGAGACAGATGTGAATTCTGCCGGGTTTCACAGGGGCTAAGAGGTGGTAAACTCGGTGCTGGGCACTGCACGGGCTGACGTCCCTCCGCGGGTCCGGCAGTCGGTCAGCAGCCCGTGCTCATTCGGCGCCTTACCCAAAAAGTGGCAAAATCAGTGCAAGTCTTTCCGTGAGCAAACGGGCTCTGCGTCTGCGCACAGACTGAGGAACGCAGAGCACACACCTCCCTCACACTGCCAAATGCCCTTTCTCTTCTCTGCTGACCAGCCAGTCAAATAGCATGCAGGATTTGAAGTTAACTTGAGATAAAAGGTCTCTGCTTCTCCAAATCATCACCTTCCCACAAATTAGGGGTTGGGGTTTTTTCATGATATATAACAGCTTCAAATGCTTATTTTTAACCTGTAGCGTTTTTCTTAAAGAAGCACAACACAAACTTTATTGCCGTATCCTCTGCCATTTTTGTGGTTTCAGTGTTCAGATAGATATAGTTTATCATTATAACGCAGCTACATGCAAATTTCTAATTATTACATTCCACAGAAGCTTCCTCTGTTGTTACTACTAGCTCCACTCTAGGGATGCTGAAAGACCCGGGCCATTGTATGAAATGTTCTTACGTACAATTAGTCCGCACCCCAAAGGAGACAGCGAAAAGCATTTTTATTCGTTTGAGTAAAATGGCTCCTCTAGCATTATGCCGTTGTAGTCTGGAGATGAACTTTGCACGTCCCTTCTCCCTACTACCAGACAGAGCATTCAGAGTGTCACAAACTAGAGGTAGCAAACCACGCTCAAGTGCGCGTGTTAGATCCGAGCAGATAATGCCAGCTAGTGAACAGCAACACTCCCTGGGGTCTCACACCTGTCTGTGTGCCAAATCTGAGCTCACAGCTCTTTGCTATGCCCAAAAGAAAAGAATAGAGGATGCCCATCTGCAGTTTGCTTTCTGTTCTTTAATGTAAAGCATGTTCTAGTCCTCCTAGGTTATCTTTAATTAACTTACCTTAGTTACCTTTGGGGGTTTTTTGCATAGTTTTTGATTTTTCCACTGCAGACTCTGGAAATCATATACCTAAAAGTAAAATTTTACTTCTTTCAGTGTTCCTATATATAGCAAGAACTGTGCAGACATTGTGCTCTTTCACTTCCAATTATTTCTTATCCAGTAACCTATTTTTTTGTTTATTACACTCTCTTCTTAAATTCTGTTCATCTTCCCATTTACAAATTCCTCTGTATGTTCAGTTTAATAAAGTTCTTCGCAGCCCAGCTTAGCTGCCTTTACAAAAGTTCTCACTGTACCTGGCAGGGCTCAGTAGACCACTGATGACAAGAAATAAATCAGCCTGGATGGTTTGGCTGTTATTCCTTAGAGCAATGCCAGGTCTCTCACATATAAATTATGAATCAGCCTTTGGATTCTTCATCCACAAGCCAGACACTGCAAGCACAAACCCTGGTACAAGTGCCTATGCTAGAAAAACAAACTCCCTTATTTACACAGCTTGCAGAAAAATTGCCTGCCTGGAAATTGGGGTAGTGATATAGATGTAGTCTGTTTATGTTAGAGGGTGAAATGAAAAAAAACTTTTAAAAAAAAAAAAAAAAAAGAGAATTCTGTCATTGTATTGCAGTAGCCAACAGCTATATAGTTTGACAAGCAAGTGAGTGAAGGTCCCCACTGTTCCCTCCCCAGCATAACCCTCCAGTTAGCCTTTAATACAGACAGGCAATTAATTGAGATAAAAAAATGCAAGGCATCAATACTTCCTGTCCTCAAATGGAAAAGCTGGATGACGTGGTGGTAGGCTCTTTGTAGTTCAGTCCCCAACTCTGCCCAGGGGACAGCTGAAAGCCTAAAAGTTAGGCTTTGCAGTAAGCAGTGGTCTAGCCAATACATTCTTTTACATCGTGGCCCTAATCTTCAAATCAGCACTTGAATGGTTTTTGCAGGAAGAATCACAGAAAAGCAAGACTGAGAAAAGACATCAACATGTCAGGTACACTGCGCCCTGCCAAAGGGGAGGATCAGCCCTACTTAGGAGGACGGCACTAGCACTTCTGACCATCACCTCTTTCATCTGAGTCCTTCAAAACGGTTTGAGAGAATCTCTGACCACTCTCCGTTAGTACCTATCAGTGGTGCTGCTCACATCGGAGTAGAAAGCCGAGGAAGATGCAATACAGTGCAAAAGGCATTTTAGAAAGACATATCCTAATAACCTAAACGGGACAGCATCGTAACTAGCCCCCATAACTGTAAAAGGGCAATAAGAGGTTTAGTAGCTATCATTTTTACGTGCCTTCTGATGGGAGCCAATTCCAGTACTGAATCATTCCCCAATATTTTGTTAGAGCAGGGGTCAGCAGTGCAGACCTGGTGAATCACACAGAAGTGCCAGCCCCAGACTCCACAAAGCGCAGATGACCAGTGAAAGACCGTAGAAACTGTCTGACAGAAAGGAGGGGTAGTTCAAGAACGGTCAAACAGACTGGGGGGGGGAAGAAAAACAAAAAGAAAAACACTTAGCAGGTTCTTATTGGATACTACTTTCTACAAAAGAAAAGAAAGTATTTCTTGCTAAACCACAGAGAAGATTTAATATGTCTTTATCCTTATCCATTAGTATAATTGTCAAAAATAAGTGATTAAAAGTGCTAATTTAATTACATATTGTGAGACATTCCGTGCCTTATTTCTGCAAGCTTATCTTGCAGTACGGCAAAGGAAAACATTAAGAGCATATTGTTCATTTGTTTCATAAAATGCTTGTGCACGAGAATTTCTTTTTTTTTCCTAAAATGCTACTAATTTGTCATATAACTGAGCTCCTCAGTGAGACTTTGGTGTTTGAATGTTTTAACTTTTTTAGAGTGATCACAGGCAATTCAGTGGAAGCTGGTGTATAATACTTCAATAAATTATACTCTAATGTTGAGCAGAAAAGCCCTAGATATTACAAATAGAACAGAACAGAACAGAATAGAGGAGTTCCATTGGGAGGGACCTACAGCCATCATCTAGTCCAACTGCCAATTCACATTCACAATTCCCCATTTTTCCAGCCCAGTTTGTGACACCAGTGCTAGGCACACACTAGCTGCCAGGTGGACCTGCCAGTCACCCCGTTACCGGTAGATCATTCACAGGCAGATCATCATTCTGCTGTGGAGACTACCGCAGCTCAGCTCCAACCTCTGTTCCCAGCAAGAACCAGCTGACTTTATTTGTACTCTTCTTGATGGGATCTAAGAAGTAGCCCAGCTTAAGGCTCGTTTTATTTCAGTTGGGAGCAACATGGGGCTCTCTGATTTTTACAGGCCTGCCCGGTGATGCCAGCCTACCAACTGTTTTTCCCTTGGCTCAAAAAACAGAGGTTTCCTTTGGATGGCGAAGGCCTTTTAAAGGACTGGTTTGAACAAGCCAGCCATGCATCGCCTACTCCTCTCACCGGTGTCACTAGCACATGGCCCAGACACTGAACCTTGAACCTCCCCAGCCTGATCGCAAACACAGGCACCGTTCCTCTGCCCTAAAGTTTCACACGTTCCCAAGACACAGACCAGTTCTAAAATTCGGGCTATTGCTTTTCTGCTGTCTACTCTCGTGTTCCAGTGCTGACTTCTCTTGCAGCTTAATTCCACCTTTCCTTAACTTTCATCAAAGCTGTGAGCTCTCGGGTTTAAAGTTTGCATCTTCCTTTAGGAAACAAATATGAACAAATTAATGTACAAACAGGCGCTGCACAGTGTCTGAGCACATCACTGCATTTCCGTTAACAGATAAAAACCAAGAGATTACAGCCCACTAGCAAACAGCAAACCTTTGAAACCCAACGCACTGCGCCTAGGGCATCCTTCCCTGGGAGTTTCCTGCATGTCCGTTTGAGTATAAAAAGCCACGTATCCCTCAGAATGAGTGAAAAAATTCTGATTTCTGGGGTTTTATAAACTTCTGGTCTAAAGAGATGCCTTGAACAGCTGCTCACTTCCCTCTTCCCTCCTGCCGATGAGGCCAGGAGCACAGGACGAGCCCTCCCCTGGGAGCACCACGCTCTCCGTCCCGGGCTGCCTGCTTGGTCGGAGCAGAGAGCCCGGGCAGATCAGCATCTCTCTGTCCTGTTCTCTCTCTGAGGTCAGGTGGTGGTGCTTTAGCCCAGCATGGGTATGGAAAGATAACAAAGAAGCTGAAGGACAACCTCGAGAAGATGTACAGTGAGAATAATCATTAATTCACTATACGCACAGAGAGACATTGCTACGCACGCAGAATTGCAGATGCAGCGATGTGTGCTTACAGTTCAGATCTAGGGAAGCGCAAGTGTCTCTGATTCAGTACATGTGATGACTAAACATAGATATACATGCTACCCAGGCAATTTTCAAGAATGCTATAACAGCAATACCAACATTTCTTCCTTTAGAGAGTTA